TTCACATTGGGGAATGCAATGTTCCTAGGCAGTTTAACCATTTCTAACATGTTTTTGCTTTGACTGTATGCGTCATTCCGGCTTATGTCCTTTCTTTATTCACTTTGCCTTTTCTTTTTATCTTTTAGTGGTGGTCAAATCTTATGTAGATTGCCTATGTATCATGTCCCCGCATGAATCAGACCGGGCGTAGTTCTGACATAAGTAAAATAAAGACACAATTTTGCATTTTATTACCAAAATATGCTATTACAAGCTATTATTTGAAAAAAAACTCCACACTATTAACATTGTTTGATATGAAAAGAGAACAGAAGGGTAGACAACAGACTTTTAAAAACAAACAAGTGCAGACTTGAACTAGGGATACATTAAAGCCTTGATTTTTGGTTCCCGCGAGGCATCGTTCGGCCTTTCCGCGGGCTTTGGTGCCAGGCCTCTTTGCAAGCTTTTTAATTCCTCCATGATCCGGTGGACATAACCCATGACTGAGGCAAAAAGGGTATCACAGGGCATTTCCTCACATGTTAGGCATTTCGTGGTGATGTAGCGCCCAATCTCATCGATCCTACCCCTGATTCTGTCCCTTTCCATACACAGCTGTTCTATTCGTTGATTCTTTAATCCCAATACTTGAGTGTTGTCAACGAGCTGATCTTGGAACCTCTTCATTTGTTCTTCCATTCGGGCTATTGAATCATAGCAGCGATCCCTGTCCGTTCTAGCATCTCGGGCTTGTTTAAAGACTCGATCTCTAAGAGTGGAATTTGTTTCTCTTAATATTGCGATGCTCCCTTCATAATCCCTTCTCACTTGCCATAGGTGCTTTTTCTGTGCTGCTGTACCTTTTACCCATCTGGCCCGCATTCTTGTTATGCTAACCTCAGATCGTTCCAAGTCTTTTCGGCTTTCAATGATCTGATTCCTTAACCCTGCTATCAACCTTTTATCGGACCAGCTTCTCCGTTGGTTGTCGGTATCCATTATGACTCGTCGGTTTTGAGCTCTAAGGGAGTCATTTTCTTGGGCTGATTTCTTTCTGTCCCCTTCATCGGCCGCGGTCTGAATTCTCTTTCAAATTGAAGATCTATGACCTACTGCTTCAACTTGCCTATTGTGGCCCTGTATTCTTTTTCCTTTTCCAACCAGTCCCAATGCTCTTGTGAGGACTTGGCAAATTCTTGAAGGTGAGGTCTTTTAGCCGGCCTTCTAGACGACACTTCCCCTTTGTACCAAGCCTGATATCCGGGTGAAACGTCCCCTTTTGCCCGATTCAGTACCCAAGTATTTGCCTCCAAGTATTGACATTGGCTCCAAATCTGGCGGACCCTTGCTTCAGGAAACTGGGCATCGAAACTGATCTCAATCACTTGGGTGCTCAGGTCCTCATCTTTCGGCACTATCTGACACCTCCCAAGCTGCCTCAAAACCCGATACGGCGCATAAGGTTGAATGCTCTTAAGCCCCATCAAAAGAAAATGGGGCCTAGCTGCTGGCATATATATGACTTCGTTGATCGGTAACCATCCTAGTGTCCATTGTATTTGACTGGCGCTGAGGGTCCGGAAGTATGAGGTCCATGCCGAGACTCCTTCAGGTAAGCGGACCTCATTAATTCTGGTGTAGAACTCCTCTATGCAGGTTTTCTCAGAAGATCCATGGCTCAGGAACTGGGCTCGGTGACATAGGTGTTCGGTCATCCACATTTGCAATAACAAGTTACACCCTTCGAAAAAGTTCCCTCCGGCTTTGCAGGCCGTGAGAGCTCGGAAGATATCAGATACAATCATGGGCGCAAGCGTGCTGTCATCTTGAGTGAGCAAAGTACTGATGACCCCAACTATTTTTATGTCAATATTCCCGTATTTTCTTGGGAACACTAAAAGCCCTAAGAAGGTTATCATGAAAGCAACCCGTCTATGTTCATCCCACTTTTGACGGTTGCTTTTGCTGCACAACTTGTTTTCTGGCTTGTCGAATCCTCCTACGTGACCGTATCTTTGGTATATGAAGCTAAGAGTGCAAAAACCTTTTGCCAAGTCTGGGTTATGGATCGTTCTGACTATCTTTAATGAGTCCAAAAACCGGTGCACCGCTACGGCTCTTCGAGCAACCAGGCATTTACGCCTCAACGGAACCTCAGCACTGCCGATGTACCCTGCTATTTCCTCTAAAGTCGGGGTGAGTTCAAAGTCCGAGAAGTGGAAGACATTGTGCGCAGGTTCCTAGTAAGTGACCAGTGCCCTTATAATATCCCCTCGAGGCCTGATACCCAACAAACCCGTGAGACCTTTCAGATGTTTTTTGACTTCGTCTCGCCCTTCTTTGCCTAAATCATTCCACCATAGCCGCAACTGGAGGGGGATTTTATTCATGATTGAAAAAGGTTCATTTTGAGTCGTGTTCATTCTGCACATTTATTAATGTGATTAACAAAAGAAAATTTATTTGACTCAAAACGATTTGATTACTTTTCATAAAAGAAAGACCAGATTTTCCGAACACGACATTTCAGCACTTCAGGGACGAAGATTTTAAGGTTGTGCGAGTTAACCGATCAATAATAAAAATGACAGAAGTGGCCGTTTATGCAAAGTCAGCCTTCCGGCGTTCCTTTTGGGAATATTCGGCTATTTTTGATAAAAACGGCATCACCCGACTCTATGACGAAAAATTAAAAAATCTTGACATTTTTTGGCTATTTTTGCAAAATGGGAGGTTGGACCCGACGAGGGTTGCCTACGTATCTCACGCCCTGTGAGAATCAAACTGGCGTAGTTCGCCCCATATAAACTAAACATTGTAAACAATACTCCTTTCTTTTCCAACAAATCAAACTAATTTTTTTTTTTTTAAAATTTCGGCAAGGTTTTGACACTACTTGGACATTGGTTTTATTTTTCTAAAAAAAATAAGTGGTTATCTCCCTACACTGCTATATTTTTTTTTCTCTTTTTTTCAATTTTTTTTCCAAAAGTTCCTGATTTCAGAAGCCGGTCAGCATGCAGATCTGAAGCAAATAAATGTGCAAAACAAACAAGATGCAGCAGGATGATCTTTTTCATTTCAGGTTGCTTGTCCTAGACGGACCCAACCCCTGTGTTGAGTCCCCTAAGCCAAATGCAACATGATGAAAATAAACGTTCCTACTAGGGTCCGGCATGAAGTCAAGTTATTCTAGGTTCAACCTGGGTATATGTTCTAGATAGTGTACCCGAGCGGACAACTCAAGTTGAGGAAGGAGCTCCTTTTCGGGAACCAAAAGGCCAGCCGGCTTAGAAACTTTTCGAGCCTCTTTTATTTAGGGTATGACACTAACAGAATAGGGAGTCTCAACCAGTAAGCACATCCCCGGAGGTAAGAAGAGAAGGTTTCGGCACAGTTTATATGTACAGTTCAAATAATATCAAAGTAGTAAAAAGCATCATTTTGCACATTTTAGGCTAAAACATGTAATAAGATCAAATAATAAATAAAACCAAATATAACAATTCATCTAAGCTCGAATTCTGAACCCTGAACCAGAGATTCTGAGTGCTCTTATCCCCAGCAGAGTCACCAGAGCTGTCACACCTCATTTTTTCAGCACCCGCGAGGGTACAAGGGGGTTTTTCCAATTAAAGAACAATCGAAACGGGATTTGTTTATTTTATTCAGAGTCGCCACTTGGGAGATTTATGGTGTCTCAAGTCACCGGTTGAATCTCGAATCGAGGAAAAGAATGACTATGTTTAACAGTCTGCGCGCCAGAAATCCGGATAAGGAATTCTATTAACTCGGGAGAAGGTATTAGGCATTCCCGAGTTCCGTGGTTCTAGCACGGTCGCTCAACTGTTATATTCGGCTTATTTATCTGATTTTTAACAATTAAGAACTTATATGCAAATTTTAACTTTGAACCGCTTTTATCAATTTTATTATTATTGTTATTATTTTACGGAGAATTGCAACGTTGTGGAAATCCATCTCGAACCACATCACAACCAGTGTACACCTGGTCGTCGACACATTTCGACTCTGTCGAGATTTGAATTTGGGTTGCATAAATGCACACCCGAGTTTAGGAAGGTAAGACTAATTAAGGCGCGTCCTAAAGAGACTATCGTATCATTTTTTTTTTTGGGAAAAGGCCGTGAAAATTCACTAGACGGCCAACTCCAAAGTCCATCCGGTTATTGAGTCTTTTTATTGAGAGCCCCGTAATTTGTGATTTACTGTGGCGAGACACACCTCCTTTATTTTAAGGACAATCCTAAAGTGGGTACATTTTCTATTTTTAGTTTGTCTCTAAAATAAAAGAAGAAAAATCCTAGTTAATTACATGCTTGAAAAGGCCATCACTTATTTATCGGATTAAAGCAAAACGCAACCGGAAAATTGCAATCAAACTTGCGTAAAAGGAGATTATTTCATACCCTATTCTATAAGCCAATACTACTGAAATTGAAATTATAAATAAAGACGGAATTGACAAACAATATATTTTCAAAAAAAAATTAATCATCCTATAACTAATTTAAACCTACCTTGTTAGATGAAATGAACCGATGGAACTAATTGTTTTCAAATACTTGAAACTAAACCAACTTTAATTACTAATGATTACGAAAGTTTGCTTAAGCCTGATCATTAATTTAAATAACCTATGGGATTAGTGTTCTTAGCCTTACTATATTGAATCGCGCTTCAAATATATTAAGCCTACGGATTATACGAAATTACTAACAAATTATATTTGCCTAATACTTACGGATCTTTATTACTAACAAGATTCAAAAATCACAAACTTCAAGTTACTTCTATTCCTATATTCGCGAGTTCAAAGCTAGATTTTACCAACCAATTAAATCGATGCACCACATTAACTAATTACCAATTTAGAGTTGGATGTGATTCCGAAGCTACATTATTTTAAACATATGAATTAACCAAACTGAAACTGATAACTATGCAATTTCTACGGAAATACGTCCAATAGTTCAACAATCTAACAAATCTGCTCAAATTAAACATGCATACTGTATTGACATATATTCACGTCATTTTAAGGATCTTAGGTCCGTAATCTAACGTTATGCCCTATCTAGCTGCTAATCAACGATCTTACAAAAATAGTCTTAATACAACATGCCTCTACCCTTCATATAATTGGAAACACATAACTAATATCTAACTAAAATACAATTATTCTATAATTAAATACAGAAATATTCTGTCCATTTTATTTCAACTTTAATAATCAAACGTCGAGGTGATTCAAAGTAGTGTACCTGATAATAGAACAGAAGAAGAAGGTGAGGATTAGTAGATCGGTAGCAGACAACAACAACAATAACCAGCAACAACCAACAAACGGAACACCCAGTGACAGATTTGAAAACCAAAAAAAAATCCAGCAATAACCAGTGAAGTAGTAGCAAATAACCAACCAAACTCAAAGAACAGACCACATGAAAATCCAGAAACACCAACAATAATCAACGGGCAAAAACAAAATGAACCCTTTTTTTTAGATTGAAAGACCAGTTAATGTTTAACCCTTAATTCTCTCTTAATGTTCAGAAAATTCTTTCTTTTAAACTCTCTTCAAATTCGAATCCTCAAAAATCTTTCAATATTTCCGAATTCTTCTCCTAATATTCCCTCCTTCTCTGTCTATAACTGACTCTATTTATATCCCAACACTGGCCCTGCCCCCTTACCTTATCAGATCCTGCCCATCATTTTCCTTTACAACCCATTATCAAGTGTTTTGTGCCCAAATGGTATGGCAGCTTACAATAATCAATTAATCCCCCATGTTTCTATGTTTTGTTCCCCACTAATACTAATCAATTCATTAGTTTAATGGTTTTTTAATAATTAGTGGACAGAGCACTCAAACCACCCATTTCTTCCTGTTTTCAATTCCGAGATTACCCCCTAAAGTCCTGAAATTACTGCAATCTAACCTAATGAACTTAAGGTTCAAAAGTGATCCTAGGTTCAATTCACATCAGATCCTAACCTGTTATGCAACCCAGCCAATTCCAACAAACACTGAACTTAAGCAAGATCAAAAAATGAGAGATTCAGTGATTCAGGGAAACAAATACACACATATTGAAAGCCTTTGAATTACTACTATCAGAACAACTCATAGGAGAATTACTGATATTGAAATAACTTCGAATTTTCTCAACTAAGCAGAAGAAAGCAAAATCCCAAACAGGCTTAAACATACAAGACGAACTAACTGATGAAGTTATTTCGAATGATTCACACAGTCAGTAGTGACAATCGACAACAACAAACAAAAATTCTACTGAAAGTGGACCAAATAAACGGTCTGATGAGAAGGAGAAAAACAAAGTAACCAAGCAATCAAAAGATTAATTAAGCAAACAACACTGAACCTAAAACACCAGCAACAACTAAGAACAGAGGATGAAGAAACTAATTGACCCAACGTGAATTACAACCAGATAAAACAGGTCAAGAACAACAACAAAAATGAATGGAAAATAAAAATAGAAAAGATACCCGGAATTAAACCACACGGACCCTGCTCCGTCAACCTTGACTTCGAGTTTTTGGGGTCAAACGGACCTTAATCGAGTGTTATCGACTGAGAACAATCGACTAAGGTCAGTCGAGACCTCAAGTTTTTCCCCCAATCTAGACGAGCTCCGACTTCTTGGCATCTAGGGTTCTTCTTTGTTCGATTTGGGATTCGAGCAGTTCTCATGAGATTCGAACGGGACTAATGGTGGTTTAAGCATGAGGGAGGTCAGGTGGGTAGTTGGTGTGATTTTGGGACTCATTAGGTGATTTAGGGTTTTGGCTCGAATCTTTGATTGAAGATTCGAGAACACTGGGGATGATTCGAAGTTAAGTGACCAGGGATTCGTGTTCAGGGTGGTGTGGAGGTTCAGTGGTGTGGCTATGGCGGGCGGCGGCGTTGTTGCCGCCGGGTTTGAGGTGGGAGGATTTGGTGGCGGCTAGGGTTATCGAGGGAGGAGTTTGGTTGGTCTCTGACAGGTTAGAGACGGAAGGGGCAATGGCTATGGGGGGCGGGTAGTGATTTTAGGTTTATATAGTGGAGTGGCTAAGGAATCCTGGCCGTTGGATCAATCATGATCTACGGCCTGGATCATTTTAACAGGAGAAAACACCGTCGTTTGGTCTAACAGGGGGTCCGGTTTGACCGGGTAATGGGTCGGGTACAGGGGACGGGTATGAAAGATGTGATCTTGGCCGTTGATCTATTTGAGATCAACGGCCCCGCTCAACTATGACAAAAACGGTGCCGTTCAGGCACCTCTAAGGAGACAGACCGGTTTACGCCTTGGGCCAGCTCGTTTGGGCCTGCTTTCATTTTAATTTTTTTGCCCAAACCGAGTTTTTTTATTTTTTTTCAACTCTTTTTCTTTTTCTACTTTTAATTAACAATCAATAAAATTCTAAAAATAATTTGTAAAACCAAAATTAGCCTACAAAAATGTTAATTAAACCTTAACAACAATTAACACACAAGGTTAAACATTTAATTAAAAAATAAAATTACACAACGGCACACATAAATGACAAAATGCAACAAATACATATTTTTGTGATTTTCTTTCTTTTAAAATAAAACATGGTTTAATTAATTCCAAAATGCACAATTAAATCTTGAATGTGTATGCAACATGTATTTTGTATTTTTTTAATTAATCACAACAAGGGTAAACATTTACGGACAAAATAATTACCAAAATGTCACGCAAATTCTCAAAATTGTACACAGATGAAATTTGTTTTATTTTTTATTTCTTTTGGAGTAGTTTTCGTGAAGCAAAAAATCACGTGCTCACAGTACTGATCCAAATCGTATGTTAACAACTACTACTTGGGAGGTCATTAATGATGTTGTTAAATTTTTACATAAATTTTATACAGCTACTGTTAAATTTTCTGGAGCATATTACCCTACTGTTACTATGGCTTTAGTACATATAGCTGAAATTTCTTTTCTACTCTTTGAATTTAAGAAGAAAGAAAAATATAGGGATATTGTTGAAAAAATGCAAGCAAAATTCAAAAAATATTTCTTTCCAATTCCTCCGATTTACTTAATTGGTGCTGTTTTAAATCCTTCTATTAAGATGTGTGATTGTCACCAATTAATGAATGCTTTATATACTTATATGGAGATTGGACCAACTGAAACCCCAGATTTATATACTTGTATGAACAAGCTAAATGAATATTTACAATAATTATACAATTATTATGCAAATGTAATTGATGATGATGCTCTTAATGTAGGCAATGTTAATCCCATTATGCATTGTACCACTTCTGCTACTGTGGATGATGAAGAAGACCTTGATAGTTTTAATATTTTTTCTACATTTTCTAACACTCAAACCAGTAGCAGGAACATTGATGAACTTCAATTCTACTTGCAGAAGCAAAAAGAGCCTCGCACAAAGGAATTTTCACCGTTGGGATGGTGGCATGAGAATGGAAAGCAATTTCCTGTTCTTTTCGCTATGGCTCGGGACGTGCTGAATGTGCCAATTTCTACTGTTGCATCGGAGAGTGCATTTAGCCAAGCAAGACAACAACTTGGAGACACCCGTCACTCATTGGGAAGCAATGCTTTGGAAGTTTTAGTATGTTTCAGAGATTGGATTAGATCGGAACGAAGAAATCAAGGACGTGAAGATGTTGATAGCCCAGAAGACGAGGAACTTGGAGATATATTAACACATGGTAACCCATCCGAATTTAACACTCCAGAAGAAGGTCACTCAGTTCATATTGATTATGAAGAACTTACTAAGGCAATGCAAAACCTTTGAATTTACTCTTTTTTGGTTAATTTACTTGTTAAATGTAAACCTTTCAATTTGTAAGTTTGAATTTTGAAATAAATGTAACACTTGAAATTTATAAGTTCAATTTTTTTCCATCTTACTTGTATTCTTTATATTAATATAACTTACAATAGTTATACAAAATACAATAAAATTTTTAAAAATACACTAAATCCGGCCCGGCCCCCTCAACCCGTAACCCGTACGGTTCAATTTTTACCCGGATGATCCCGAACCCGTTAAACCCGTTAAGAATCAACCCAGAACTGGCCCGGATCGTAACCCGTACGGGTCCCAAAAAAGCGGCCCGGCCTGCCCCACCCGTTTAACACCTATAATTTGGTTTGGTTTTCGGTTTGTTTCGATTTTTCGGGTTTTATGAACACCCCTGTTCGTAGTTACTAGATAACGTGAATTGGTATCTGAGAGCATAATCTCTTCCACTTGTGTGTCTGGGGTGAAGAAAAATGAAATAATTAATTATACGAAAAAAATTAGTTGATGTTTGGCTTTTTAGTGAAAAGTGTTCCCGAAAGAAAATATATAAAAAGTATATAATAATATTAGTAAATCGAAGAGTGTTTTGATGATATTTTGAGTACCAAAAATAAGTAATGTATAGGTATTATATTAGAGCAAGTAATATGAAGTGAGAGATTAGTTCAAAAGATAATGTAAATTGATTTTTCTTCTTGAACTCATTTTTGGGCAGAAGCCATTTTCCTTATAAGCTATAACTATACGGGACAATTGATTTTGTATTTTTTTGCAATTTATTCTTTTAGTTTTATATTTTTGTTACAAGATATATTTATTTTTACACATAAAAAATCTAAAAATAGCACACTAAGAAATCTTTACAGTTGTTTTCTTCTATCAAATTGTAAATGGGCATAGGAGAATAGGGGCGGATGTAGAATGATACCAATGAGTTAAATGAACCCATAATTTTCGACAGCGGAGTAAAAATTAATATGTAAAAATTCATTAAAATTGCTACAAATAGATATGAACCTATAACTTTAAAAATATAATATGTTCAGTACTAAAAAACTTAAAAGTTGAACTCATAAAATTTAAATCCTAGATCTGCCTCTAAACGGAAACACATATCATATTGTTTGGTTAAAGAAACTTAATTGTATAGTAATATCAAATACGCATTCAAGTCTTGAAGATATACTTTGGGAATAAGAAACAAAGAAGATGGGTTACATGATAGCAATCACCTATTAGTGCAACCAAAAAAAAATTAGTATAATCCCACGGGTAGGACTTGAGAAGGGTAATTAATATGTAGGCATACCTTATATAATCGATTTTTGTGTATGCGATATACTATGCATTGAGTAATGAGTTACATATCTTGTTTAGTATGAGATGTTCTGGAGTCAAAGAAATCTAGCTTACTTGTTGTGCTTTCTTCATATGTTTGTCCTTAATGTTGATCACACAATTACTAAGTACACTTAAGATTATAAGTTTGAAAGTTATGTGGAATTAATCAATTAACATTCCTTGAATTGGGCCAGCAATTATTTCACAATTCTCTTATCAAATTTTTAGTTAAGACATAGGTGATGTGCAAGTTCATTAATGATAAATTTTCATAAAGAACTATCTTTTAGTAGTAATTAGTCATCTATAGATACCATTTGCTATATTACGGGTTATAGATACCTTTTATGTGGCTATATGATGTATTTGATGCATTTAAGCTATTGTATTCATGAATACAGTAGCAAAAATAGGCGTGAATCAGAGAAGTCCAGCTAATCAGTTGTTGTATTCGAGTGTATTCGACTGTATTTATGGCGTGGAACATAGGATTACAGCTGGACAGATTACTGTATTCGACTGCACTCACGGCTTGAAACAGGGGATTACACTGTTTTAAAACGGAAAGTGTATCAATTAACATAAAAGATTACTAATATAACTCAACAAACTCAATTATAACACACAAAATTTATATTTTCGGTTATAAAAAATTTTCTCAACTGGAAAAACCCCCAAAAACATAGCAATCTTCAGATAAGTTATATAATACATCTGAATACATAAATTATATTAATTGAAAAAACATATGTCACACTACAAAACTTCACTAACCTTCTTAAATTAATAAAAAGATTTCGCAAAGCTTGAAAAGGGTTTTCCAATACTGAAAGTGACAAAAATTCGTTTTAAAAGGATTAACTCAGAGTCGCCACCTGACATTGATTTCGGTGTGCGAGGTCACCGTTTTTAAAATGATTTTTCCTTTCAAAACACTTTGAACTCTAAAACTAGGTCAACATCAGAGATTTCGGTAAAGGGGTTCATTTGGCTCGGGGAGAAGTGTTAGGCACTCCCAAGTCCCGTGAAAGTCACGGTTGCGTACTCGATCTAGTTGGCTTTTAAAATATTCGATTTGAGGTAATAGCACAGAAAAGGAAAATAAATATAAAAAGGCTCGAGGTCGTCCCCACCTAATAAAAGAAAAATAAAAATAAAAGCTAGCCTACATTATACTTCCTCCACTATGTTCGTCACGGCCTCCAAATACATGTACTACGGGGCATATCCCGGATAAATATATACAAATCCTTCGGGGTATTCCCCGGATAAATTTAACTAAAGGAACGACCTCTCACCTCAAAACTAACAAAAATCTTAAAGCTCGCCTGCCCAAGTGTGGTCGGCCTAAACATACTACTACCATTTTAAAAGTCCAATCAATAAGCAAGATCTAAACGATATGCAACTCAAAACGTCACATACCAAACAAAAATCCAATTGAAATTGTCACAGAACCCAATGTCATTTTGGCCTAATATACTTTCATTTTTATGTACAAAATCCACGATCTATAGCTCTTCTTAAGTTTGATGGCACAAATTAATTCACTATAACTCTCAACTATTCTTGTTACTTAACATACAATATCCAGGATATTCAAAAGAACGACAAAGAACAAATTTAAACAAAGAAAAGAACATTACTAAATCATCTAAAACAAGGCAAATAATCTGCAAAACAAAACAAGCCAACAAGGAATTTCAAGATTCAACAAGAAAAATGTACCCAAGCACGGAAGCAACAGAGAAGGGTTAGAGTGAACCTCAATACGTTTTCAAATGTCGAAAAATTCCAGCAACTACCACAGATAGGATTGCGCGGCTAACAACGATTTTGAACAAGACCAACAGACCGCACCTCGAACGGAACCTCGGATTTACAAACGGACAGCTCGTCAACTCGACTCGAATCTATGGTGGCGTTTTGGGCGTTGTTGCAGCAGATTTCAGATGCGATTCGAGAGCTATTTCGGACAAGGCTTCGGCTACGTTTTGACTGATTTTTGGTGAGTTTTGGGGCTGAAGTTTGCTGCGTTTCAACTGAGTTTTTTAGAGCTGATTTGACGGATTTTGGTGCTGGTTTGCGGCGGGTGGCGGCGATGGAGGTCTCGCCGGAGATGGAAGCCTTCTCTTTTTAGTTCCTGGAGCTTCTACGGTTGAAGATGAAGAAGCATGAACAGCCGAAGCTTTTGGAGATCGGGCCTTTTCCACTGGGAGATGGGTTTGTCTTGTTTGTTCTTGAAGATGAAGTTTAGGGTGTTGTTTTTGGTGAGGGTAACGGCTGGATGGCTGCTTGTGGCGTGGAGAAGATGGTCGTTGATGGAGTTCGTTTTAGAGTTAGCGGCCGAGAGGGGTCGTCGAGTTCTGTCGTTGATGTTCATAAAAAGAAGAAGGTTCCCCTAGGGTTTTGGTCTTGTGTCCGTGAAAGAGAACGGCTCATTCTCAAAATGTCCAGGTCTAGGTTTTTTTGATTTTTTTTCTTGTATATTATCTTAAATGGGTTGGGTGTCTAGGTTTGGGCTTTTGAGTTAATGGGCTAAGGGATTAGTTTAATTGGGCTACAAGCAAGACTAAATTGGTCCAAAAACTAATTATATTCTCTCCTCCTTTTGTATGTAAAAATAATAGAGCAAACAAGATAACTATTAAAAATACTACTTAATCTTACTTAAGAAAATAACTATTAAAATAATACTAATCGTTTAAAACAAACTTATTTTTGGGTATTTTTTCAAGATTAAAAATGACTACAAAACTTTAATGAAACTATTTTCGTAATTTTTATTTATGTGATAAAAATAATGTAAAAGAGTCAAAATTAGTTGAAATAACTATATTAGGCCTAAACTAAGTATTTAAGTGCTAAAATATGTAAAATCTTGGGGAGGGTCAAAAATCACATGTCTACAACAATGAAATACACGGAATACAGCGAGATACATTGAATTACAATAAATAAAAAAAGACAATAAACACAATGAAATACATGAAGCCACTCCGGCGAATCTGTGGCGGCCTAAGAGGAGAATTGGTTCGAAAGTTTTGTAACGGAGGATTTCAGGCTGGACTACTTGATCGGAACGCCGTCGATTTTGATGAGGCCTTTCCACTCTTAGGGCTTGATTTCCATGGCTGTTGCTTTGATTTCGATGGTCGTTGCTTTGATTTCGAACCTCCATCAGAAAGAATGAGAGATTTAAACAATACATTCCATAGGGATAAAGAACTCATGATTATACAATAGTCCTCGGCCACAAATTTGGCACTGACCAATCTGTCTAGAAACACCTTGTACCTTACATTGTCAGTGAATATCGACACATCGACGGCGAATCTGTGGCGATCTTACCTCGATTTTGATGAGGCCTTTCAAATCAGACACTTGCACTTCAAATCAGTTGTTGTATGCTATATCCTTTTGGAGAAGCTTCAAATTAGTTAGGAGCTTCGATTTTGATCGGCGTTTTTGCTTCCATATTTCGTCCTCACCTCTTCTCCAAACTCATCCTTGTTTCAATAGGGTTTGAATGGCAGAACTGATCCGCATAAATTCTGGAGGGTATTAAGATAAAGGGTTATGTTTTACAATGGGATGTATCAAAGTAGAGATAGAAAGAAAATAGTGTAACTGATTAGCGTATTTAGTGGCTTAGGGCTAGGAGGTAACCAAAATTAAATATTTTGCTATAAACCTTAAAAGGTATCTATAGAATAGAATTTTTTTTAAATGGCATTTATTTAGCATAAATAAGATGTTAATCTTTGCTATAGTAGGTAAAAAATGCTTCATTAATTTGACAAAGATGATGCATTTTGTTGGGCTCAGGACTATGGCCCATTATTCATATATAAATATTACAGAATTTAGTCACTTTTTTTTCCAAAGAAATTTCTCATTAGAGCTATCAATTATTAGTTCCAATTGATTTCCTAAGTGCAAAATAGATTTTTACCACCTTTCTAAGTATTGTTTAATATGTGGACAGAAAGCTCTTGATTGTTTTAAGGCCTTTGATATCTTGCATAAATACATTAATATCAAAATTCACAACATTTATGTATTGTGAACTCTGTAATTTCACAACCTAATGCTTGATTTTTTTTTCTTTTAACGGATTGAGGGCAAGGGCGGATTTACATGGTAGTTTATGAGGCACGTGAACACATGAACTCTCTACTAAATTAGGTATTTTATGTATGTATTTTTCAGAATTAATCTAATATTATTTTTGGTACTATGCTCCACAAAGGCTGAATGAAGCACTTGTTTAAATATTGAGGTATTTACCCAAAGGGACATGGATCAATTCCCACCTAATATTTTTCTTCTCCTTTCTGTAGTGGTGTATTAATATTTTAAAAATTTTAGATCCGCCTCTGACTGAGGGTCAGTTCGCTTGATGATCGCTTTCATAACATGTATAGGTGGAAATCTTTGTACTTAGCAATGGAATATGAAATAGAAACTAAAATTTGAACACAAAGCTCAGAAATATTTAAACTAGCCTAATACTAAATGAGGCATAGATACACATTAAATATAAGCAACTTGGGAATCACTTAATGCAGATCCACTCAATTGTTTATGTAAATTTAAGTTGCATATGACAAACATGTATATAGGAATATTTCCAGCAATAACGAAATTATGCATCTTTCTTGTCAATATAGTAGTTTGCTATTAGTGTATTGGTTAGTGATTGTGAAGCTAAATAGTAACGCAAGCAAGATTTTGTAATAGTTGTGTTGGCCTATATGACAATTCATTTTATAAAGGTCATACATTCAAGCCGTAAAAGTAGCCATGTTATAGAAGACACTCTTCTAGTGCTTGCTTTTAAGAAGATGATGGGTGTGTTTGGCATGAAGGAAAATATTTTACGAAAAATATTTTTTAATTTTCTCATGTTTGGTTGGTTTAAATATTTTGGAAAACATTTTCCTTATGAACTCATTAAAATATTTTCCTTATCAAGAGAAGGGAAAAAATATTTTCCAAAACTCCTTCTCAACTTTTCCTACCCTCACCAACCCANCTATTTTTTCATTTTTCTGCACCACCCACCCCAACTCCTCCTCCCCCCACCTACCACCCGCACCGGCACAATTTAAAATTATTTTCGTTTTATTAATCGGTTTAAAGGTTCAAAATTTTACAAGCTCCAATTATGGGTTCAGAGGTTTATGTATTTGGAAGTTTACGGGTTCGAAATTTCGCGGTTTTGAAAGTTTAGCGGTTCGAAAGTTTACGAAATTTGTGGGTCCGGAAGGTTGTTGGTTTGAAAGTTTATGACTTCATGTTTATTATATCTAAATTTTTTATGAATACTCTTAAGAATTCATTTTCCTTAATTTGCGTATCAAACACCGAAAAATGAATAAGATTACTACTTGTTTTCCAAGAAAACATTTTCTTGAAAAATATTTTTTACGGAAAACATTTTCCGTTATACCAAACACACCCGATGTGAAAAAGACATTTAAATCTTTTTTCTTGTGAAACATAATAGATGGACCAAAAATTTCCTAAGTTGGAAGTTGTCTTGTGTTTTGGAGGGCCGAATCATTGTCCAAGAGTAACACTGTTACTTCTTGTGTCATTGGGTACAAGTTTAATGTTGCCAACACCGGTTGTTCAGCACTTATATTGACACATGCTTAAAACGAAGCCACTTGGTATCTACACAGAGGCAGATCGATCCAGGAATTTAATGCGACGGGATCATAATATTTTATTCAATCAGTACCTTCTAAAGACTTTTAGCATTAAAGAAGCGAAATGATTTAAATTAATCATTTTCAAGGTATACACATATACATATACAAAATTTCTGCCGAAGTTTACGAAATTCAGTAACCCCTCAACCTAAACTATAGTTCCGCCTCTGTATCCACAGTGGAGCCAGAAATTCTAACAAGGAAATTCCCGAAAATACAAGAATGCCAATCTATAACTTGAACGTGCAGTGTAAATCAATTTTTGAACCAATTCGTGAGTACAATAAAGGCTTTAAAAGCTTCACTTATGTTAAAAGAAATTCAGTAATAAAGCGCAGCTCGATGCACTAAGCTCAATGTATTAGGTCCAGAGAAAGGTCAGACTACGAGACCAAACCACATTAATTAGGTCTTATGTATGCAGCCTTTGCAGTGACCTCTTGGTCACACAATGACAACTTTATTGTTGCTCGTCCCTGTTGGGAATAAACCCCTTACCAAAATAATATTCACGGTAATAAAGCGGAATAATAATG